TTCCTGAGCACTAAAAAATGATTTTAGATGATTATATGCCAATACATCCAGTGAGAATATTCCAAAACTCTTAAAGCACCCCCCTAATGTCCACTTCCAGTCATTCACTCTTTACGAATGATCACAAACTGAATAAACCTATGTAATCATCCAGGTCCACATGGAACATTCCAGAACTCTTGAAGCACCCCGTAATGGGCACTTTCAGCCATTTACTCTCTAGGAATTATCACAAACTGAATAAACCAATGTAACCATCACCCAGGTCACATGGAACATTCCATAGAACATGCCGTTTGGGATAATTCATCAAGTTGTACATATGTATCTTACACTTCAGTAAAAAGCTTTAAAATATGCATATGTATCTATTACAAACATGTTTGCATATGTTTATGAAAAGGTAACTAGGTATCAAACTATTACATTCTGGATGAGAAGGCTGTGGGGGGAGGAGTTTTTTTAACTGCATATTTCTATAGGGTTTGAACTTTTTATATTCAGCTTTTTTCCTTTATAATTTAAAAATGAATAAAAAATGAATAAAGAAGAAAAACACTTAATAAAAAAATTTTAAACACTGCTACGGGATGTTAATCTCTGAGGTGGAAATATTCATGGTCAGGATTACAAATCCTAGAATTCTCGAAGCACCACATACAACAGCCACAGCCCTCTGTCTCCCCCCACCCCATAGGTCCTTGAGGGAAATGAATGCTTGAATGCTTAGAGGACAGATTCAGACAAATAAACACTTCACTAGCTCGGGCTTTCTCCTCAAACTTCAGTGAAGTCACCAGAGGAGTTAGACTATAAATTCCTTTTGCTCAAAGTAGGCAGGTCTCAGTGGCCCAGACTAGAAGCTCCTTTCTCTTAGGGTTACATTCTGACTTTAGCTCTGGAGTTCTCACCATTCCTTTAGTGAGAAGAGATAGGCAAGCAAACCATGCCTGAAGTGCTCTTCAGGCCCCTTTTCCCTGAGCCCCACCCAAATTCCCCCTTGACCTTCCAGACGAGAGGTGCTGTCTTCTCAGAAGCTGAAGGAGAGGTACTGGACCTCTCATACCACACTCCACAGGACAAAAAAAAAGAAAAAAAGAGCAGAATCCCCAAATGAGAGAATCCAAAGAGGAAACCCAAAAAAGTGCTCCACACAGATTCAACAGCTTTTAACTTTACAATGACACACAACACTAGGACCCAATAATTTCCCGGGTTGAAATTCTTATGTATATTTTACTTTCAAGATTTTGGCCATATCTAGATATCTATCACTCATACTATTGTTTACTTAAGATGCTTCTTTAAATGAACTCACTCTTTCTTTGCTATATTTATTTTTAAAATATATCTATTTAAATATATTATTTGCTAAATTTATCTTAACAGAAAACCTCATGTCACTATCATAAACGGAAAATCAGTAACACATGTGACAAACAGAAGGTACGTATTAGGGATATATTAATAAATATTACCTAGAAGTGGTACTCCTTGACCAAGACTCTTCATGCAAGTTTTCCTCAGGAATGTCTGGAAGTTAAGAAGCTTGTTGCTCCTCCTAGAGGTGAGAGTGTGTTGTTAACACTTTCCCGGAGATTTTCTTTCAGCTCCTCCTATAGGTTAACACACCCCTGTGATTTTCTTTCAGCTTCCTCTATAGGTTAGAGTGATTTTTTTGCAGCTCCCTCTATAGGGTTATTGTTCAACAAAACTTTGAGTGACGGCTATTCTAGTTCAGATACAGTGCTAGCGGCTAAGGATATAGGAGAAAATGGGAAAGCGTTTGTACCATAATTGAGCAAGGGTTGGACAAGACGGGGAAGGAGAAAGTTAAAAGATGTTGGACACAGACTTTATACACTATCTCCATTTCCTAAGCCCCTATGCTGCAATTCAACTTTCTCCCCTTCTACCTCACTAAAAGCACACTAACAAAAGTCTCTAGGGGACCTCCTAGTGATCAGATCCAATGGGAAAATTTCAGTCCTCATCTTAATTGACCTGCAGGCTGCTCCCTCCTCAGCTTCATTGATTTCATTAGCTGCTTTCTCTAGGCCTCCCCATCTCTTTTTCAACCTGCCTCTGAAATGTTGATATTTTCCAGGATTTTGTCTCTAAACTTCTCCAGATGATCTCCCTGCTTACGTCTACACCCATGGCTTCCACCTATAAGCTAAAGACTCCCAAATCCTAAAAGATCAGATGAGGCCTGTTTCCCTCTCCAGCCTCATTTACCATATTAGCAAATCACTTGTATTTCTGTAACAGTGTCTTGGTCTCTTGCAGCCTGCATCCTATTTCCCTGTACCTGATTCCTACCTCCACCCCAAGTTTGTTTTTCAAGATTCAGCTTCAGTGTTACCTCTTCTGGAGAGCATTCCAGAACCACAGCCCAGGCTATGTTGGGTACTCTCCCTTCATGCTCCCCAACACATTCTAACCAGTGCTTCTAATGGTCAGCGTACTGCTGTTTACTCCACTCTGCTGGTCTCCCAGAAGGCATGAACTTAATATGCATTTACAGTCCCCAGCACAGGGCTCAAGAAGTATTTCTTAAATTGATGAATATAAGCAATTCCTGAGCTGTGGGAAGTTGAGCACAGAGGAAAAGGAGCTTGGAGGTGGTGCTTGGGGTGGATATGAACCAGGGTATTTAAAACTCGAGTATTTAATTCTCTTCCCTTTCCCTTCCTTCTGTAGAGGCAGCCAAGGCTGGTGAAGCACCAGGGTCTGAGCCAAGGAGATGGTTGGGGCTGAGGAGGCCGCCGGGGTGGTGGCTGGCAGGGTAGGAAATAGGTTGCATACAGGAAGAGCCATTATATTGAAGATAAAGGGAACCAGGTTTCTCATTATTGCAAAATGTAGTTATAAATATGCATAGGGTGGACATGGAATAAACCCTGTGGTGTTGCATTGGCATCAGATGTACTAGTTTGAACTCACAATTTTTAACAGATATAGATTTGTATATACACATATACATTTACATGGTGTATGTATACACATATAGTAGTCGCCCCTTATCCACAGGGAATATGTTCCAAGACCCCCAGTGGATGCCTGAAACCATGGACAATATGGAACTCTCTATATACTGTTTTTTCCTATACATACATACCTATGATAAAGTTTAATTTATAAATTAGGCACAGTAAGATATTACAATAACTCTTACTAGAACAATTATAACCATAAGCCAGCATCACTACTCTTGTGCTTTGGGGCCATTATTAAGTAAAATAAGGGTCACCTGAACACAAGCACTGCAACACCAGGACAGTAGATCTGATCACCAAGATGGCTACTAAGCGACTAACGGGTGGGTAGCGTAGACAGCATGGAGATGCTGAACAAAGGAATGATTCATATCCTGTGCTGGATGGAATGAGATTTCATCATGCTACTCAAAAAGGTGCACAATTTAAAACTTAGGAATTATTTGTGGAATTTTCCATTTGATATCTTTGGACCATGGTTGACTACAGGTAACAAACCCCAGAAAGCAAAACCATGCATAAGGGGGGACTACTGCACATGTTTTCTGTGCTGAGGCCTTTAAACAATGATGCCCCAGTAACAATGATCACACCTGGTGTACGTACCTTGGTTTCTAAATATCATTCTCCATTAAAAGGAATCAGGACTCCTTAGAGAAACGGCTGACCCCAGGGGTTGGGGCAAGGAAAGTATAAATCTGGGAAATCTTGTGCCAGAAAGTAAAAAACTGCTCAAAAAATGTTAGGGATTTGTCAAAAGGACACTGTCGAAATTTGAGACAACTTGAATATGAAAATAGTCATGGTAATGGATTAAAATCCACTGACTAAAACAGGAGTCCATGAGTCCACACTGATGCAAATAAATGGTGAAGGGAAAGTTCTTCTTTACAGTAGAATATCAACTAAGAAATGTAGAAAGATGATGGGATTAGAGAGTTGCCATTCAGTAGCCATCATAACACCATCAAGCAAGAAAGATCAATGGATACCAAAAACTAGTGGGTGAAAGTTTGATGAAGAAGCAGGATATATATACAAAGAACTTCAAAAAGACCAACTGTACAGTGAGGAAACATGGTAGATACCACCTTAACCAAGGGATCAAAGTTACCATCACTAGTAACAGGACAAAGTGACACCATATGCCTCTTGAAATGAAACACTGAGAACACAGCATCGCATCTGTGGTATTTCTGCCCAAAATGCATAACCTGAATTTAATCACAGGGAAACAGTCAAAGCCAAACAGAGGGACATTTTTCAAAATAACTGGCCTGTACTTTTCAAATATATGAAGATCACAAAAGACAAGGGAAGACTGAGGGACTTCTAGACACATAACACCTATAACACGTAAGACTGGATTGAATCCTGGACCAGAAAAAAAGTTGTTTTTTCTCCTTTTGCTAAAAAGAGGATTATCAGGACCACAGGTGAAACTTGAATGGGTCTGTAGATTAGATGGCAGTTTTGTATCAAAGTTAATTTCCTGACTTTGATAGTTGTGATGTGGTTATGTACAATGTCCTTGTCTTTAGGAAATTTACACTGAAGAATTTAAGGGTAATTGAGGTATCATGTCTGCAACTTATTCTCAAATGGTTCAGAAAAAACGTACGTATATACACACACACAGAATGATAAAGCAAATGTGGTTAGATGTTAACAACTGGGGAAGCTGGGTGAAGGACATATGGGAGTTCTTTGGGCTATCCTTGCAACCTTTTTGTAAGTTTGAGATTATTTCAAAATAAAGTAGTTCATATATTTTTTAAAAACTGAAAATAAAATTGAGTTTTTATAACCGGAGTCATGAATAAAAGGCTTTGGTGCTGCCTGTTCACTCACCCCCCACCTTGCTCTAAAAACAATTTATAGAGGCTTATAAATATGTAAAAAATATAACAAGATAAAATAGATTGAAAATAAGAAATATGCATGAGCCTGGCAAGAAGAAAATAATTATTAATAAAAATAAGACAGACTTTTAAACATTACTAAATTTTATGCAGGTATACACACTTTATTAAATTTGAATTCTAAGATATATACAAGGCCAGCATTTCACAAAACATCCTATTATTCCAAAAGCAGTTATCATGAAACACAGTGATTATATGTCAGTCAAGCAAAAACTGTATCTATAGGATTTTCTTATATCATCTCTTGTACCTGTTTTTAAATAGAAGCCTGAAATATATGATATAATATTAGTATAGGAAGAGAGAATTTTACTTTATAACAATAATCACTTTTTAAATATTAGACTTTATATAAAAATAAAGGGGTATTGTCAACAAAGCTCCTCTGCAGGTTAGCATCTCTTTTATTTATTTCAAAATAATCCCTGCACAAACTTAACTTTCTAGTCCATTTAAACAATAAAAACTAAAAACACATCTTGGTTTAAACAGTAAAGTGAATCACCTTGCCTCCTAGTTCTCATGCCACTGTAACAATTTCAATTTCTGATCCTAGTTCTACCCCACCACTGAATTTCAAAAATAAATTTAAATATCGTCACATTTCAAAGGTTATTTCCTAACAGTCCTAAGTTAGAGCCCAAAAATGATGGCAAAAATTGTCCCTTTAAGGCAAAGAAGACAGTAGAGTGAAGGTGGATAAATCTCCTGTAAGACAAAATCATCTATTATCATCACAGAAGCAGAAACATCATAACATGGTTCTTCTATAAACAGAATAGATACACTGAATACTACTGAAGAAATTTTTCTTTAAAACAGCATACTAGGGGACAATCTTCATAATAAATACATTTATGTTAGGTTTGAAGGACTATGAGCTTTGCACAGGTGAACACAATATGAGAAATAAAGCCATTAATGGCTGTTGTGGTGATTATAATTAAAAATAAAGAATAGCTGTGATGCTGTAACAGAACTACTGCAAGCTAAGTGATGCTCGCTTGTAATTGAAAGAGAATAGGTTTCCCTTCAAGCCACACATTATCACGAGTCTGTGAGTGCCTCCAAAAGCACATCATCTTCCTTTAAAATCCAAGGATTTTTGCCTTCAAAAGACACAAATGCTGCAGTAGTTTTCATTCCTTACATTCGTTTAAAAATGGAATATCATATCCTAGCAGGAAAATTTGCATATTAAATACAATCCAACCATGATGTCTGAACATCAAAAGAAACCTATCACGACATTTTACAGTTATAAATAATAAATAACATAACAATAGTTTACACTCAGATTTGTTAAATAGCTCAGTCAGGAGTTCCCTCTTTTAAAAATTAAATAACTTATGTCACCTCACACTTACTAGCATGTATACTGTTCATAGCTAAAACAGCTTCTTAAGAGCAGAATGCACAATAACATTGACTTTTTCAGCTCCTAAAAGCTTTCTCGTAGATATTAAACTGCCCTTGCTATAAGGAAGCATGAACAAAAACTGGATTCCAATTGTGGTGGTAACACAATAACCAAAACACCAATCACCACACGACAAAACAAACAAATCCAATGACAAAAAGGAATCAGAAAAAAGCAGCAACCAAAACGGTATGTGGCAATCACACATATAAAGCCCCCTTTTCCACCCTACCTTACAATACACATCCCTTACAGCACGACAGTGTACCCCAAGGCACCTAAGGCCTCATAATACCACCTGAGACACTGACAGCTCCATGGATGCTTTAGTACACAGTGGTTTGTGTGTAAATAACATTATTCATTCATTTGTAGATGCTCCACACATCTGGTCAAGGCAGGAATTTCTTCTCCTTGATAACACCACCTAGAAATATCAACAATATTTTATATGTTCCTTACGGCAACAGGTTTGGGGAGAGAAATATCAACTGTGGTAGCAAAGTCATAAGAACCTGTGGTAACTAATGCAGGCATCCTGTAAGTCCATTTGCATTCTCAACACTAAAATCAATCCTCACTTCATACACTCCAGCAGCAAAGAAGCAGTAAAAGTAGTAATGAAAGCAACTACATGTTTCTTCCTCTCTGTGATAAATGGCAAATAAGCAGCTCAAACAGGAAAGAGAAACAAAATAATGTACTTTAAGCTGATGCAGAAAAATAAAAATTTAGTACATCAAAAGCCATTTGTATCTTATTGTGAAATAAAGAGATTTGAAACTATGTAGTCAACAGAGAACAAAAAAATCTCTCAAGCAAGAGAATTTCTGATCAACTCTGTCATACCACTGCTGGGGCAAAGAACCATTATAGAAAATACACATCAGTGCCTTCCTTAAACATATAGACTTGAAAATAGGTGCTCTTTGAGGCACTAAGAAAAAAAATATCCTCTAAGCAATCAAAAATGAGTATTTGCAATTTAGTCACTAAATCCAAAATGAGATCAGCAAAAACAGACATTAGTAATGTCACTACACTTACAAAACTGAACTTCAGAGAAGAGAGATGCCAAAAAAATAACAGCATCAGAATGGTTGAAATCTGTAAAACTTCAATCCTCATATGGATCAAAGTTCTCTTCATTTCTCACTAAATGTTTTATGTAAGAAACAGCAGTTAAAACACTGAATCAGAAATGGTTAAGTCACTTGGGTGAGAGATCATCCATCAAGATGAACGGAGAATATGAATTGGAGCATGCTACTGGAGAGTCTGCGGTAGCGCTGCCTTTAGCCAGTGAATCTGAGGATAAGCCACTGCTGCTACTACTGCCATCCAAAATATCTGAACTGAGGACAAAGCAAAAAGAATTATAAGCAAATGCATCCATTAAGGTAAACATAACATGCAACACCATAGTTTCAAGAACTCATGAATCAGTAGAGCATTTGTAAATAATAAAAAGCATAAAAGCAACAGCAATGAACTACATAAGAAACCCAAAGTAAGACTCTCAAGGTCCTGTATTATTTGAGCACCCCCTGGAGGCACCAGACTGTCCAACATACAATAAGCGTCCCTCTTGACATGCCATGGTTTCCGTGAGGGTGCTCCCTTACACTCAGCTCAAGAGATTTCTATCCATATATTTCTCTTCATACCTTCTTACTCCCATCAGGCTTGGAGTAAGAGGAATGGTTACTTATTGAGGTGACCATTCTTGGACTGTTTGAAGTGTCCAATTTACTCTAAAACAGTCTTTCAACTGCCCTAGAGTTGACCACTTCCCCATTCTCAAGAGGCCTTCAATTCAAACACATTGTTTTCTGATTTTCCTGTCCAATTATATGCCTTTTATATTCTTCTCATTTTATGAATTCCTTACATTGCTTCCTTTCCTCTTGTTTTCAAAACCCAAAGGTATCCTTACTATCTCTAAGAGACTCCTTTTCTTTGATCCCTTTAGTTACTCTCCAGTTGAGCTTCTAATACCCTCACAGTCCACTGCCTCTTTAATCCTGACAACTGGCTTCTGCTCCTATCCTTCCACTAAAACTCCTGATCTGGGTATCAAGAACCTCTAGAACCCAAGCCAAAGCTACCTTCCGCACATAGCTCATGTGCTCACTGCTCCTCAAAATCAATGTGGCCTGCCTCATCAGTCTAGCTTCACACTTCAGCAAGGAATTGAGGTTTCGCATTTTGGCATCAAGCTGTCTCTCTGGCTTTGATTCCCATCAATCCAATATATAAGCTCTATGCTCTATATTTGCCCTGAATTCCCTCATTCACTTATTCTAATATTTACTGAGTGCCTGCCAAGTGTAGGAAATACACTAGATGTTAGAAATACAACAGTGTATAAGACAGTAATGGTCTCTGTCCTCATCAAATTTACAGTTGAGTGGAGGAGATAGGCATTTAAATAATCATGCTAATAAATAATTAAAATTTGTGATATTAGTAATAAAGGAAAGATAAAAGGGGCTATGAGAGTGTATAACATGAGTAACCTGCTCTAACTTGAAGGAACAAGGAAAGCCTCCCCAGAAGTGATATTTGTGCCTGTTATCTGAAAGGTAAGTAGGCATTAACTAGATAAGGTTTGGGAAGAAGCAACAGTAGCTCTAGGAACAAAAGCAGGCTCGTGAGGCTATACAACAGAGAGTAAAGAGAACACAGTGAGAGATGAAGCTGGAGAGATAGTCAGGCAGTTTTAGAATCTACACATACTCTTTATTTCTGAAAAGGAAAAAAGTATAGAATTGGTGAAGGAATTACGAATTGGGAAATATGGGTTCTAGTTTGTTCAGTCACTAGCTCCTTTGCAAAAGCCCATTGTGGCCTAATATGTTCTGAGTGTAAATGTTATGAGTTTTTAATATTATCATTTTTATGAATTTCCAAGTTAATGTATTCTACTGTTAAGTAACCTATGGTACATTTAGAAGTTTCTGGGCCCTATACCACTCTCAATGAAATACAACCCCCACCCATTCCCCACCCCACTTCTCTACTCTTCTACTTTTCTTTAAAATGTCATTTCTTTCTATTGCCTGTGGATTGTTTTTAGGTGGAAAGAGACTACAAATAGGCTTCAAAAAAGTAAAAATAAAAATGGAAGCAATGATTCCACACTACTCCTACTTTATGCTCACTGCTGTCAAATGCATCATTAATAATACCACTTTTAAGTATGAACTTTGGAAAATTTAGCTGGCTGTAATATTTTTTCAACCAAATGGCAAAATGGATCTAAAATATGAATTATTCAAACTACTGAAAGAAAGTTGCACAGATAATCCAAGACACTGGAAAATCAAAAGACCTTTCTATTTGCCTTTGGAACATATGTGATTTTTCCTCCTGCAGCTTTTTGCCTAGACTAATATTAAAATGAATTTACTTTCCTAAAGCACATATTGGCTAGGCAGCTGAAGAACATGCTCTGTGCTACTTGGCAGGAAGCAACAGACTTAGATTAAAATTTGGCCACCAAGTAGATAATCTGAGCACAAATAAAGAATTCCTTATTCCAACCACCAGACTTATGGTGAGCCCTGGGTTAAAAGATTCCATCTGTAAAAAGACCCATTTGCTTGGGTGAATCCTGTAATCATTCAAAAACACAAAACATAACTCGTGCAGTGAAATTTGTCTTCTAACACTGTTTATTACCTTAAGAGAAATAAGCTAATGGAGAAGTTACCACAAAAATTAGAAAAAAAAAAAAGCCTGAACATTTCATTTTAGAATTCCTTCTCTATTATTAAATATAAATGCATATAATTTTTTTCATTAACAGTAAAATAACAGACTTAGTCTCCACTGCAATCTAAACACAGAACTTGTTAAACCTTTAACCAGACATTTTCACTAAACTAAAATCTAGTTTCTGTTATAATTTAATCTGGTAAGAGTACACATGGTCATGGAAGCAGCGACTACGAGTCACAAGTCACCCAATGTTATATCCATGTAAAGCAAGACTTTACATGACTTTCCAATCCACAAAGAGATCACTGTATAAAAGTAATTTTCACAGTGTTCACTATTAAATCTTCTACCAGAGGTTCTAAAAGCAACAAAGTCTGGTCCAATTTGAGTTTCTCTCTTCTTCCTCTCCTAGCTTAAACTCTGATGGAAGTGCTTATGAGCCTTACTTAGACTAATGGCAGAAAGCCAGACAATAGTAGAAAATCAAAGGACCTAGACAATTCAAATTAGGCATAAGAGTACCTGAATCAAAAGTGAACTAATTCATTCCAGCCACTGAATACACATATTGAGGCAATATTTGAATCACACAACTGAAAGTACTTATGATTTAAATTATTGCCCTCTGTCTAGAAAAAACTAAGGGTGAAAGCATAAGTGAATCATTAAAACATTCTAATGATATGTAACAACAAAAATAGGATGTCCAGTGTGACTCATGCTATCACCTCACCTGGCTGAGCCACTTTGTATCTTGTCCAGTCAATAAGCTGGGTTCTATCAGATTAATGGCAGGCAGGTAAATGCACTAGAAATTAGCCACAACCCCATTAAACCCAGTGCAGATTTTGGTATAAGGTAAGACTACAGGGCATCGCCCCACTCCCTGTTGTGCATTAAACTGATACATATGGTACGTTCTCTGGTCTTTACTATCTTGCCTTAGGAGAGAGCAGCATTATCTTTCTCAATAACCTCTACATTTTTAAGATCATATATTTAAATACCATCATTTTCAGTCATGTTGGGGATAGGAGTTTAAATGTATCAGCACAGATGCCTAAATTGCTAACATAAAAATCTCTAAAGTATATGTACACATTCCTATTAATTTATTAAATAAAACATGACTAAAACTTATTTTGGTCTGTCACATATTCATGATGGATTTTTTTTTTTGCTATGATACATATAACATTAAAAATAATGTTAGAAACAGTAAGATAAATCTAATGAAAAATATTAAGATAAAACCATCACATTAACACTGATGCAGTGGGCAAGAAAATTCATGGGAGAATTTTTCCTTTTACGTAGGAGAAATAGACTACCACTTAATCTTCACTGCATGGCCAGCAGCCCTAAAAATTCCCTTATTTTACATAGCATGCTGCAGATACCTCAGTCTTACTCCCAACAGAACAAGGAGCAGAGTAAGAGTTCTCAACATGCAAAAAGAATCAAAGCACCATGCAAAGGTGTACTTCTGAGTTATGCTTAAACTTTTGACGTTCATAAGTACTAAATGCAGAATGATACAATTCCTGCCTTGTGGTTGACAATGTTCCCCAGAGTTGGTTGGCAAAGATTTCAGAATTTTTGTTTAGTAAAAAAATATGAAATAAAAAGTATATCTAACTGGACACAAACTCCACATGCATCCATATTGAAACTTCAAAATTAATTTATACTTCAAAGACGTCAGATTTTAAAGACTAGTATCTAGTATATAAACTTCAAGTTAAAGGTTGTAAAACCCATCTTTTCCTTTTCTTTGTGTGGTGGGGGCAGGGAACAAACTATAACGTTTTTAATGATGAGATAACATCTACTAATGATCTGATCATTTTTCTGCTCTCTAAAAGGTAGTAGAAAAATTGTTTCCTTAGTTTCATTATCAAGTAGGTTGCCCTCCTTGGCAATAGAAACCAGAACACAGCTGGTTCCCATCTCTGTCCCCATTTCTAACAATATGAATGTCTGATTCTGATCAATGAAGCTGCATTAAAGAGATAGAAAAAAGTTTCCGCAAAAGCAGGATCCCTTTTTTTTTTTACATAAAAGGAATAACTTGTACTTAAAATCTATTAACTGCAGACACAAATATCAGCCTCATTTGTATATAAGGTGTCCCAAAAGTCTTAGTGTAGTTTGTAGCTTTAATAACCTCAGAAGTACAGATGCTACTGACTAAAAACATTATTTGAAAGCTTAATTAATTACTTAACTATCTTTAACAGTTTTGTGAATTTTGAGTAATAAATTTCTTTTTCACAGATTACTTGAGCCATACTTTGGCTTGTTAGCACTCTACGAGTGGCTGTGAATAAAGCAAATCCCTCCTATGTGAGGCAACAGCTTTTTGTGTTTAAAGATCAAAAGTTTCCTTCATCACCAATGTCGATGTTCCCAGGGTTCTCATAATCAGTCACAGGTCTACAGAGTATGGGAGTAGTGACAATAGAAATAGAAATCTCACAATGGCCACCGCCATAGAAGGCTTAGGTTGTGCTGCTCAGAGGAGGACAAGGAGAGGGGACCCTTGGTAAATAGCATACCTTCTCTTTCCTTTCTTATTTTGCATGAACCTGTTTTATGGCATCCTGCAGTCAGCTAAGACAATATAAAAATAAATCACCTCACCCTGTACGTTTTCAGTTGGGCAAAATTCTGTCATATCTTTTAACTCAGTCACTTGGTTAGTTACTGGGTAAGCAAACCTATTTATAGTCATGTGCCTATATTAAAACACACTTTACCATAAAAGCGATATGCAGTTTCCACTAAGTATAGAGTTTCATCCACTAGTCCTCTTGACGGGCTTCAGAAGTTTCCTCTTCGCAATCATCTACATACCTGGAAAGCTACCAAGTACACTGAGCTACCAAGGACAGACAGAGATGTGAGGGAAAAGAGACTGTGGGGCTGAAAATAACTAGAACAATCTAAAAGGCATCTGTCCCAAGGTTTGAACAGTACCAATCAATGAGTCTAATAAACTAGAATAATCTGAGAGTTTGTCAACTAGAAGTACAGGTTACCTTACAGAAAACAAACAACGAATAAGTGATTTGGGAAAAAGGAATCATCAATCCTTATACCTTGTAAGTGGCTTATACACTTCCTCCATTTACAGCATTCTATCCTTCTATTTTTAAAGTGTGTGCTCTTGTGGACTTTTAAAAAAGAACCTCAGCCGTAAAACTCAGGAAAAAAAAAAGTTCTGAAAGGCACTTCACAACTGTGTCTAGAACACAGGTGCTCAGCAAGTTGATTAGAAAGTCCCCCCAAATTCTAAAATATTACCTGGTCACTGCTACTGTCCCTTCTCCTTCCTTCCAATATGTATGTCAGCATCCAAGTGCCCAACTTCAGGTATAGAAAAAAAAGTAAACTTTCTCACACAAAAATGCTGAAAGTCTTAGAGAGAGACCTATACTAGGATGAGTAAGACTAAAAAAAAAAAAAAAGTTTGCGTGAGTAGATCATAACAATCAGGAAGTGTTACTACAAAAACGAAACCTTAGTTAGCAATGTGATGGAATATTCCAAAATTTCCAAAAAGATTTTATAACAACAGATCATGCTATTTAGAGAACACCATGCTTTACAGAGTGCAGCAATTCTGTGCTAAGTCAAAAGGATATAATAAAAAATGCAGCCAGAGCAGCAACAATCAATGCACATTACCCACAGCAACCTAGAAAACCTTTCTCACAACATCCAACTGCTACCACTCTAGCACACCATTACACCTAGTGAGACAGGCTGACCTAACAGGAGCTAGGAATGAAAGTGAAGGTGCCAAAGACATACACTTCCAAAGGACATACATGTGACTTTCAAATGACCTATTTTTACAAATTACCTATACCTCCCTGGAGATTTCCCCTCTACCGGAGCATGGATAAAAAGTTGAATATATTTTAAATTATCCCAATATACTTTTGATGTGGCTCTTTTTAAGTGGATCATACCCTAATATCCTTTTGATTTTATTTCATTTTTTACCATGAACTGAGATCAGACAATTGCGCAGCATCCGGAGATAGCATATTGGTAGTGCCTTGGAAGAGCCTCTTGGGCTGGCTTTCAGTCTCCATTTCACCTAAAACAGAAAGACATGATGCTACTGGAAAACAATTTTACAAATACAGACTTGGTGTTAAAATGGGGTGATCTTTGTTTAACCAAAGCTCAGAATACTTCTTCAAGCCATTACTTAAAAACTATTTTCCCATGTGCTTTAACACAGAAGAAATATGCTTCCACATAACCTCAACCAAAAAGTCAGCAGCCCTAAAAAACTTCTCATTATGTGTGGCATGCTGTAGATATATTCATGCTCTTTAATAGAAAAGTAGGACACTGATTGCATCAGACAAAATGAATCAAGGTTAACCAATTAGTAATAAAGGATTCCCAAATAGCTGAAACTCACAGTATATATTTTATGCTAGATGGTTAGCAAAGAACAGTGATTTTAAATATTTTAATATCTGTACATTTGCTGAGATGACATCAAATGGGTTAAGAAAAGGTATAGTCTGATAAACAGTGTATAAGGAAAAGGTTGCATTAGACTATTTAGTGAAAATGAAGATTAAAAAGTTTGAAAGCATATTTGTAATTGAAAGTGATTATTATTCAATTCACAAAATTGATATTGTACTGGCTACCTCAATCCCATAGATTTTCTCAAAACTGGTAATAGAAGAACTTTGCACCAATAGGAATAATGCTTAACATTTTGCCACCAGGAGTACAAGACTAACAACTCTAAGTTAGAAAAAGCCCCTTTCAAAATAAGCCATGTTTTTATTTAAAACATGCACATTCCTTGGTTTTGAAGCTCCTTATCTGAGCTTGAAAATGGAATGTTAAAGACAATTTCATTAATGGGCCTATCTATATTCCAGTAGGAAATTAGTAACTTTGAACTAAAAACTGATTCTTAAGATGGAAAACAATCAAGCAAAAACAAATGCAACATTCATTTTTTCCAAGTTATCAATTAATTCATATTATCTTTCCTCTGGAGCTATTCTGAAAATTACTGAAATTTAGGAAAAGTTATATTTTTATTTGCTTTTTCCATGTTTTTATTTGCAGCTTTATTTATTTATTTATTTTAAAGCTGCTCCCGGGCTTTTTACTCCACCTCACTAGCAAAAGACTTTAGCCCTTTTTAGCAAAGAATCCCTCCATCTGCTGGTATATTTTGGAACAGCTATGAAACTCAACAACCATACTAATTCCATCAACTTCCTGCAATAAATTTTAAGTTAATAACAATAAGAATAATAATGGCTTTATTTCCAAGTGTTATTTTCACTGAATACTTCTGAGAATGTTCCTAGGACTGTACATGTCTTCTTGCAAGATTAAGGAAAAAGACCATTTATAAAATAAAACATTCGCAAAATACAAATATTGTCACTATATCAGGACCTATTTTCCAGAGCATACCGTCTTTAATTTTAAGTTGTCTGAAATATAGCACTTTCTGAATCTGATTACGATCCTATGACTGGAAAGTTTTCACCAAACCACAAGAACCTATTCACCTAACATTAGGAGAGTTGATTTGTTTATTGGTCCTGAAGGTGATCTGTACAAAGAAACCACTTACTGAACTGCTTTTAAAAGTTACTGTTAAAACTCTTGTTTAAAATGACATCTGACACTTGCAATCATGTTGTCATATCCTCAGCAATAATGACTAAACCTGTGTTAAATTTCTTCACCTTTATTTTTCTCACAACAGATGCCATCAGGTCCCCTCTACAAGCATGTAAAACTAGCACTGATGGAGGCCATTTCAGCTTAGTGCTTTGTGGCTCAAAATAAGGGAATTAAGAGAGAAATCCATTATATAAAAACTCCATAGACTTGAATATAGGGCAATACATTTGCTATGACATTAGCATATACTTGTATTTCTGCAACATATCAACCATGTATCTCTTTCACATTCATATCACTAAGGCAATATTTTTGAAATATATGTTGATAATATGAATACATGAATAAGATTCAATTATGAACTGTTAGAAAGTATAGATGTATCAAATAACTAATTCACAAAACTGAAAATCAGTAGAGCATACACTGGGAAGAATACTTCACATTTCTTTAGAAAAAAGAACAGCAATGCCGTGAGCTAATTTCTGACAGGAATTCTAATTTTTAATTCAAGTTCAGCTAGGTTTAATACCAGAAGCATGACACATATCTTTCCTTTTTTCCCCCAGCTTTACTGAGGTATAATTGGCAAAAAAAAAAAAAAAAAAAATACATTTAAGGTCTATAATGTGATGATTTGATATATGTGTACATATACATATATATACATATATACGTATTGTGAAATGATGACCACAATCAACTTAGTTAACACATCTAACACCTCATCCAGCTACCTTTTTCTTTTTGTTTTAAAAGATGACCGGTAAGGGGATCTTAACCCTTGACTCAGTGTTGTCAGCACCACGCTCACCCAGTGAGCCAACCGGCCATCCCTATATGGGATCCGAACCCAGGGCCTTGGTGTTATCAGCACCACACTCTCCCGAGTGAGCCACGGGCCGGCCCCTCCAGCTACCTTCTGTGTGTATGGTGAGAACATTTAAGATCTACAGTCTTAGCAAATTCCAAGTACTCAATAGTATCATTAACTATAGTCACCATGTTGCTACATACCTTTTCTTTTAAGAGGACCAAGAGCACTGGGTCTAATGCACTTGACTGGACTCTGACTCCTCCTGCTTTGATGAGTATACAAACAGGACGACATGAAGTAGTTCCAAGATGCAAGATAAACAGCATTACAGCCCACCAAATAAATAAATCAAATTGAGTCAGAGGGAGAAATGAAAAATGCTTGTGTAACCAAGTAACTGCAATGCCAATAAATGATTTGACCTGGCTAGTGGCAATCTGGAATAACATGGTATTTTAAGCCATTAAAAAAAAATCATTATATAAAACAAAATACCCACAATAGTTTAAAGAAGCAGATACCTTACTAAAAAGTTATCTGGATTTTGACTGGTCAACCGTCTTAAAAATTTTTTTTCCTTATCCTTAAAAAGGATATATTACCATGTGTGCATATGTGTGTACGTGTGTGTTGGTCTTTCTGAATATAAATCAGCACTAAGTCCCCCCAAAATGAATCTGGTAAAATGTTAATGGTAGAATATAGGCAGTGGGTATATGAGTGTTCAATGTGAAATCCTTTCAAATCTGCTGTATGTTTGAAAATTTCCATTATAAAATATTGGGGAAAAAAGTTAATCTGAGAGATAAGTGTAGTGATGAGTGGCACTTCAACCACACGTAAAATTCAAGTTCACTCACCTTGAAAATCGTCTTGGACTAGGAACGGGACTCGGCGGCAACCCACTGCTACTCACGAACATTTGTAAGGATGGTGAAAAGCATTGCTAGAAAAAACATATTTCATGTTAAAATACTTCTAGTGTTCCACTTTCAAAGGTTCTTTTCAAAATGACAGAAACAACCCCCTTTGAATTGCTTAGCTATGTATCATATATATACATTTTTTTCAAACTACTATCATAGGTTTTCATTGATTTTCCTTTAAGTCACTGGATACTTCAAAAGTGAGGTGATTTGTGCATATGTGTTTTAGAGAGTAAATGGCTTGGTGTGTGAAAGAGAGTGAATATCCTGTCAATGATCCTACCTTTCCAAATCCTTTGGTGGGTGAAGGTGCTGGAGAAACTGGAGTGAAGTCAATTCTCTTAGGAGAATATAATTTCTCCGGCTTGTCAAAATCACTATCACTCTGTAAACATAAAGTGTGATCTCCTCACAATAATTCAGCACATCACAGCTCTTATCTACCACTATAACACACCTACATTTTTAAATTAGAGATGTATAGATTCTAATATTCTGCTGGGAAAGCAGAGATCAAAAAATGAGTATCAATTTGGAAGCAGAAGGGACAGATGTGGATGAAAAAATTAATGAGGCCAGTGAACAACATGAAGGTTTCTACAAAATAAAAACCAAGCAGACGTGGGGAAACTTTACCAGGCTCAAGCTCTCATCCCATGATTGGCTTATCTGCATTGCCGTTTGCACTTCCCTGAACCAAATAAAATGAAAGGCCATCAGTGTTCACAAACAAAACATGTATCAGGCTAGGCCCTGTTCTTGCGATGCACTAACCTTTCATGGGCAGTTTCTCTGTTCATCATATCCAGGCCTTCTTCCTGCAAAGACAGACATACACACCAGAAACATAATTTTTATCCACACACTTCTCTATTTCAAATAAGGACTTTTCTACCTCATTTGACTTCCTCACAGTAGAACAGAACTAACATTCTACAGTTGTCACCCATGCCACGTCTACATTTTATCTGCACACTCAGAAGAATTTTAATAATTTGTCTCCAACTAACCAGTTGCATCTTGACTTATTATTAACATCTAAGTCTTCAAAATAAAAATAAAAATGAAAACGTAAAATCCAAAAGCATTTCGGATCTGAGCTAGTAAGTAAAATTTACCCTTTTAATCTGATGCAGTCTGCTGCTAGGAATACGATTAGGTGAGGATGACAGCAACTGGAAAGAGAAAGTAAACATTTACTATTTTCTGAATCACAAAGCAGCATCTGCTGTCAGTGCTGGTATACAACCTCTTTCTTGATAATTTTTCATATTCTTCTTAGAAATTTAGCTTTTTAAATCACTGAACATTAATGCACTAGATGCAGTACATGCAGTCTTTACAAAGTACACCAGGTGTCCAACCTCAAAGCACCATCTGTCACTAGGCACGCATTGACTTTAGCACTTTTCCCAAATGAATGCAGAGCTGTGTAAATTTAGGGAAAAAAAGACTCTGAATCTTGGAACTATCCATTACCCCACTTATCTAAAATAAAGAATTGTATGAGAAGGGAAAGAAACACCAATATTATTAATTTTTATAATCAGTGCACCAACGGAGGAGGATGGGCTAATAACCCCAGTATAACATTTTTTCTATGATTAATGTTTACCAAATACACTTTAAAACTGCAATAAGGAGATTTTCTTTATATGATTTAAATCAATTCTAAAATTTGATCACTAATGCTATCACCACAAACCTACTAAAAATAAATCAATGTGGAAAGGCAAGGTGTATCTCTAAAATAACTGCTACTTTCCCTTAGATCATCCTTTTTTCTTTTTTTTATGCCTCTTATCCAATCCCTGTCCTTCCCCTCTTTTCTCCTTCCCCCTCTAATAGCTCATCCCTTTTTCAATAATACAAAGCTGAAATTATTTGGGGCACCAAATTATGTTCTTTCAAAATAATCACAATCTGGTCACAAAATGTAAAGTACAATTCATATTAACAGATCTCACAGGGTTCTAATAGCCATCATTTAAACAATTGCTGTTTTATTCCCTAATGAAATACAAATGAATGTGTAGTACTATCAAATAAGACAATTATCATGTTTCAGAGGCCCTGTGTTATTAAAATTTTTGAATACTAATGCAGTGAGCAATATAAAATGGTGATAAACTGCCCTAAATTTTTTTAGGCAAAAGCTAATTCAGGTAAAATTTTAAAAAGTTATTCATTGAAATATGATTTTACCTAAAAGGATATCCCTTCAGTACCTCCCTTTCTTTTACTTTTTCCCCTCCTAGGCTTTGAAAAAAGAAACACTTTACTAGTAAAATCCCTTTCAAAAATATTTTTTTCCATTGTGAAAATAATACATGTTTACTGGTGAACTCTTAATGAGAACAGCATGGATGTGTCAGCCAGAGAACCAAAGAAGCTCAAAAGGCAATGAAATCATCAGGAAAACTAAAGTGAGGATGGCCAAAAACTGACCAGGGAGAAAGTCATAAAAGTAGATGTTATCTTTACATAACATACAACTTGTCAATTTTAGATAAAACTGGAAAGTAGACCAGAAAGAGGGACAGGAAGCAGCAAAGCTGTGTCTAGTGACAGAAACAAGACAGCAATGTATCGGTTGGAGAAAAAAAACCCAAGAACTTCAAGGAGGTGCTTGTGCTAAGCAGAGCGAAGAGCTCCAGTGAGATACGAAGTGAGGCCCCTGACCCTGGCAATTAAGTGGGAACTGGTGACTTTTGCAAGAACAGTTTTTAATGGAGTTCTGGTAGAAGTAGCGAGACTACAAACTGGCAAGAAATTAGAAGACAAGGAATTAGAGGCAGTTAAGTGTAGACTATGCTTTGAAAAACTTGGAGAGGGGAAGGGAAAGGGAAGGAGAGACCTGTGAAAAAGAAAACAGTTTCCCCCCTGCCACCATTAGATGTGTGAGTCAGGAGAAGGTGGGAGGAAAAGAGCCAGTGAGAAAGAGACTGAAGACACAAGACAGAGACAAGATAATAGACTGAGCAAAGTGACAGGAGAGTCAGAAAATGTATGAACCATTAGGGAGAAACACCATATGCGAAGGTAAAGAGATTTTAAGGAGCAGAAAACTGACATTTAAACAAGATTGGTTGTCTGTCTTCTCTGTGAAGTGAGAAGGGTCATCTGCTGAAAGTGAAAAGTGGTGAGACAGGAAGCTGGCATAGTCTAAAAAAACAAAAAGACTTAGAATATTGCTTTGGAGAACACCACGGGGCCAGGGGCACCTTGAACCCAACATGTTCTTGATTTCTCTACAGTACTCCTAATAAAGGCAACGTCATTGTCCTGGTCATCAAGAAACAAAATTTCAGTCACTTGGAGGCCTGCTTTTCCCGTCCTTCTATCTAATTGGTTGGCGAATCATGAAGTTCCTACTTCTGCATATCTCTTTCATAGTCCTCTCTTATCCATTTCATTTGCCAGCACCTTACTCTTTGCAGGTTACTATGGGACACAGATAAGTGTATTAACACTGTGATACAATGTACACAGTGTAATTAATATCATGATAGTTGTAGAAAGGAGATGTAGGGATTAAACTGAGTTTCAAAAGACCAGAAAGCTAGAAAGGAGAAGGGGGATGGGGCGAAGGATAGTATAGGGATCAACAAAGAACAGTGAATCACCATGGCCCCTTCAGAAAACAAGGTATTTTGATGCAGCCGAGCATGGGGTATGTCAGGAGGAAGTGAGAGATGCACCTAGACCAGAATTGATAAGAATATTCACGTCTTACAAAAGTGGTGAGTATAGAGAGGTAAATGCATTCTTCCCTTCTTTGCTATGCTACTGTTATCAGAAGCACAGCTGTACAACACATATAAATGTTTTTCATATGTCCAGCAAAAATGAGTAGTTATATTTTCCAGTATCCTCAGGGAAGGAGGTGAAGTGAATCAAACCTCCAGATAGCTAACATTTCCCCCTTGAAGTATTTTTAGCCACTTCAGCTGGAAATCTGTCTGAAATGTGTTATACTTTTCCCTTGCTTAAAGAGATTATACCAAACAGAATGGCACTGGAAGAGCTCTGTTCTAACCCCAGCTCTTCCACTTACTCACTGTGTGATTCTGAGCAAGTCACTTAATCGTCTGAGTCGTAGCTGCTGCTTCTTGTATTTGGGAAAAATAGCTTTTGCCCTGCCTTCTTCATAGGGGTTGTTATAAGAAGTAAATGTGTGAAAGTACTCTGCATAACAAGTAAAATACCATACAAGTGTAGGTATTACTAGAATTTAAGAAAAGGCTAATGACCTAGGTATCACTAAGAACATTATTATACAGTTCTATACCCGTGATACCCTCAGGGTCTATTAACAGCATCTCAGCCTTTTACTAAGCCCACAAACTAATTGTTTAAAAACCTCTGTCTGCTTTTCAGTTTTTCCCTCTCCTCCCTTGCTAGCAGCTATTAGTATGCCTTTTATACAAATGTACCCCCCTTCTGATTTGCTGCTCACACACTATTGGGTTGGAAGCTTATTATATTTGTGCATCAATTTCAGATGATTCAGAGGTCAGAGAGGCTCTCCTATAAATAAGCTGGTGGACCTTTGTGCATAGACTATGGAAATCTAGTTCAGCCATTTAGAGGTCTGTTTGCTTACATCTCTGATGTCTCCTAGAGAATTGAAGCTGATGGATAATGAGCTCTATATGTAAACTGCTATTATACAAAAAACTCATCATAATTTCTCTCAATGCAACCAACTAATAACGTGATCCCTAACAGCTCTGGCTACAGAGAACAGTCACAATCAACAACTCTTACGAGAATGTAAATACAAGCACTTTAAAAGAGTCTTTACTGTGGAAAACCAGCTTCGTCCAACAGATAATTGTCCGAAACAAATACTCTGCTACCATTTCAGTAATTTTCACATCCTAGGACAAATAAAGACCACTGTTCTCAGCTATAATTAGAAGTTAATCCTGACTTACCTCACAACCATGATGCAAGCAGTGACAAATGACAATGAACTATTTTTTAAAATACAAAGTCCCATGGCAAAGAAAAATTTTTAACCAGGTCTCCTTTTTGTACCAAAAGCTTAAAGGCCACAGCATAAGCAGTAAACAAGACAGGTAAAATAAATCTTTTCTTTTTTAAATAACTGTGCAAAGCACATAATTTTGAAAAAGAACTACACTTGAAAGTATTTTCCCCAATCCAAATCACTTTAGATACTTACTTCTATACTTACCAAACTGTGACGGCTCATAATCGTTGTACTATTCCTTCGAGTTCTAAATGTGTAAGGTTGAAAAACCTGTGAAAGGTCACTGAAAAATAAAAATAAAATTATGAATGTCTTCCAACTGAAGATGTCTTTCAAGTATATCAGCATCAATTCTCCAGTCAACACAAAATCTCCTATGGCTCCTCATTTCAAGCAGAGAATAAACCCCTCACTGTCCTCTTTGCAGAGCTGCCCACCTGGTGTGCTTCGGTTACAGGTTTGCCAAGATACTGATCTCCTCAGTGGTTGGGGGGCAGCTCAGAGAGGTGTGGGGTGGAGCTCCAGACTGGTTGCCTCCAGCTGCTTCTGGTCAGAGCTACGCCCCCAAACCGGTTACCACCAGACATGAGCAGCCTGATCTGTTTACCCCAGGGGACCTACAAATATCACTGATTTCTGTGTGTGCCATGACCTGAAAAAGCCTGGGGAACCCTGCTCTACAAATATAAGCCCTATCAGCACATCTACTATCATTCTAAACACATGTGCTACCTTTGAGCCTCGCTGTTCAACTGAATAAACATAACTGAAGTTTTGCTCGTGTTGCCCCTTCTACCTGAAATTCCCTCCCTCCTACTACCATCTATCAAAATCCTTCTTCTCTCCATATCCATCTCATATGCCATGCCTTCATAGAAGGCATGGCACAAACCTCTCTTCATTCCACAAACCTAATGCAATCATTCTCTCCTTTGAACCCAAAGAGCACACTGGGAGATGAAAGGCTTCTCGAGACACCTACTTTACCTTTTATTAAAGAAAAGTGTGTGGGTGTCTTACACCCCTTAATACACAGGAATCTTATTCATCTTTGTATAATATCTCTGCAGTGCCTAGCACAGTGCCATGCCCACAATAAGAGTTCAAGAAGGATTTTCAGAACTGAACGGGACTAAGTTACAAGGGATCACTGAGATCACCTAATTTAGCTCCCCTAATTTTTTTTTTTCCTTTTTTTTTTTGTCTTTTTTCGTGACCGGCAACGGATCGCAACCCTCAGTGTCGCGCCCGTACAGGACCGGGACCGGCAACGGGATCGCGACCCTCGGTGTTGCTCCTGCACCTCGCTCAGCCAGTGAGCGGCTGGTCTGTATGTGGGATCCGAACCCTCGGTGGGAGCGCCGCTGCGCCGCTGTGCTTCCCAAGCGGCGCACTGTAGCAGTGCGCCACTGGGCTGGCCCCCCCTAATTTTTAAATGAGAAAACAAAGGCTCAAAAAGGTTAAATGAGGGCCGGCCCGGTGGCGCACTGCTATAGTGCGCCGCTTGGGAAGCGCGGCGGCGCTACAGTGCGCCACTTGGGAGCACAGCAGCACTCACGCCGAGGGTTTGGATCCCACATACAGACCGGTTCCCGCTCACTGGCTGAGCGAGGTGCAGGGAGCAACACCGAGGGTTGCGATCCGTTGCCGGTCATGAAAAAAAAGAAAAAAAAAAGAAAAAAAAAAAAAGAAAAGGTTAAATGACTCACCCATGACCATAGCTAATTAGTGAAAATTGGGACCAGGCTTGGTTTCCTCACCCCTTCTTCGGTTACATCATGCTATCCTTCAGGTAATTACTTAAATCATGATTCAAAAAACAATAAGTTTTTTCCTACAATAGTCTAAATGCAGGTCAATAGGGTCACCCAAATCTCTAGCAATTGTTCGCTTACCAGATTAAAAAAGACAACCAAGGGCCGAGCCCGTGGCGCACTCGGGAGAGTGCAGCGCTGGGAGTGCAGCAGCGCTCCCGCCGCGGGTTCGGATCCTATATAGGGATGACCGGTGCGCTCACAGCGCTCACTGGCTGAGCGCGGTGTGGCCAGTCTCAAAAAGGACCAAAAAAAAAAAAGAGAGAGAGACAACCAGAAAAAAAAAAGAGACCAGTTTATTGTTATAGTATCAAAAATAAATGTAGGGCCAATGACAGCAACAGTAAAGCAAAAAGTCATTCCATTATTCCCTCAGTCTCAAAATTATATTTAATAAAAAAAAAAAGGAAACCTGTTTTTTTTCCCAAATAAGGATGTTATAATTAGTTCAACAGACAATGATTATCCCTTTCTGTGCCTTCACTGTGCTTAATTAATATGTTTTTGGCTAATTCTACTACCATCCCCCTTTCTGGAGTAATGCCATTTCTACAGGGTCTCACAAATTGGCTCTCTACCTGAGTTGTGTACTTACAAAAGTGAAATGCAATAGGTTCAGGAGGTGAGCCAACCTAACCTCCAGTATCACAAGGTTCTGCCTTAATTAAGGTAAAAATCTCTGGTGACTTATTCACATGAAAACACAAGACCCTGTCACTAAAACTGAAGGGTTGATTCTTTCCATTCTTTTCTAAAACCTGTGTTTTCACTGGCCTAAGCTACAGGCCACCCTTCTTTTTTTATTCCCTGAAATGCATTTCAGGCAGTTTTAGAAGCTGGAAACATTTTGACAAATCCAAATCACTTAATATGACTTGAACACACCATTTAATGACAAATTACTAGATAAACTGTGATTTATTAAAGTAGACTTCTGTTAATGCCAGGGTTCCTAAACTAAGCTTAGAAATAGCAGCTCTTAGAGACAGGTGTCAAGTTGCAAGTCTAGTTCCAGGGACTTCAGTCTGACATTCCATGAGTAAATTAGGCAGGGCAAGCAACCTGTCAGAAGAGTCAGAAGCTTTCTGCAGTTCTTTTTAGAATGAGACAACACGGCCCCAGGTAGAGGGGGCCCTGTTTCCCCCACACTGTCCAGAGTTTGGGGTCAAACTTTCACTCCACCTTGGGACCCAACTCACTGTCAAACAGTCTCCACCTCCTCAGTTTGGAGAGCCCAAATGAGATCGAACTCGCACTTTAGGGAAGGAAGACTGCTTGCACGGGGTCAGGGAGCCCCTGAACCCCGTATTCCATCCTCTCCAACCCTGCTCACCTGAGCCCATGGATCAGGGGAGCGCTGCTGGATCTCCTCAGGGTGCCCCCATCAGATGTGTCAGGCTCAAAGTCCAGCTCCATTTTCTCTTGAGCCATGTCGGAGACTAGCAGGCAGGCACAGCAGGCAGTGCTCAGCTCCTGGTGCTTAGCTATGGACTCCCAAGACTCTCACT